AAATAAATGTACTGTATTACTAATCATTCATATAGTATGATAAGTTAACCGTCTTTAACTGATCTTCTAGTATACTATCCATCGTATTGTACAATTGATAGATCATACTATACGAACAGTTATTATTTTTTATTTTTATTTTTGGTTAAAACCCACAGTGGGGCCAACGCGTTGATATCGGTAAAACGGTTACATAAATCCTTAAAAGGATCCTCCAGCTCGCTAATGCTCATAGTGCTAGAATGCAAAAAGAAGAAAAACCTAAGAGACGGTGGTTCCTTATCCTAAGATTACAAAAATAACAGGAATAAGAAAACTGGTTGTGAATAAACAACACCCAAAATTGGAATATCCGATGTATCTTGTTCTGCACAATCTTCCTGCAAAATTTATATTGAAAGTAGAAAATCAAATAAAAAACCAAGACAAAGAGTACCTTGCAGTCGTTGATGTTCCGCGCCATTAAAGGAAATACCCACCTGTAAAAAACTCTCAAACAGAAGTATTAGATTGATGAAATAGCCAACAGGATAATAATTCAATAACATAGAGATAGCAACTGAAAATATAACCCATCAGAAAGTCAAGCCGGATCCAGCAAGCCCAACTAATAAGCAGGTATTACCTCTTCCCCAAAACATCTAAAACAACCCGCTGATGTCTAAAACTACAAATACACTTATAGAAATTATTAACCCCGTAGACCTTCAATCTCCCGCACCTCACAAACCTACTAAAGTAGTAAATCCAAGAAAATAACATACAGATTAGCGAAACCCCCCATTTTCTCCACCTTCTCCAGCCAAAAACCCATAAGAGAAGAAAATGCCAGCAGATTAAATGAAGATTCCCAGCCCTACAATTCCCATTGAACATCCTGTACCAGTCAAAATAAAACTCCAGAATACACGCAAAAACAACACCAGCCAAAAGAAAACCTGTACCAGCCAACTAAAACAAAACCAACTCACAGCTCAAAACCCAAACCGAAGGATACCTAAGCATAAATTTAGATATGAAGAATGTAAGGTAAACCGATCTTCTCAAGATTAATTATTCCTTTAAGAGGAATATGCAGCTCATGCACAGGATGCTCAAGCAGAATATCACTTTGAGAACCAAAATTAGCCAACCAATCCGCACAAGCATTACCTTCACGATAAATATGAGAAATAGTAAAGTTGAGCAAAGAGAGAGCAATTTTAATTTTCCAAATAGTGTAAAAATTATGAGGGAAACAAAAATCTTCCTCGTTAATAATATGAATAACAAGAGTGGAATCCACTTCAATATCCACATTATGTAAACCCATTCGTAAACATAACTGTAAACCATGCTCCAAAGCCTTTAATTCAGATGTCAAAACAGAGCAAGAAGGCAGAGGAGCAGAATAAACTGCAATGGGGTTACCAAGGTGATTCCTAATAATTCCACCCATACTAGCTTTGCTAATCTTAACAGAGCCGTCAGTATTCAACTTAACAAACGGTATGGAAGGTTTAACCCACCTGACCATACACACCCTATTGTTTCTAACAAAACTATTCTGAATCCCAAAGTAATCCGCCAGAATCTTGCTGTTATGAAAATTTTTTTCCAGAAATAATATTCACTTCAATTAACTGAAGAATTTTATACTAATATTGGATATAATAAGATTAGCAGTCATTTTAATACCCAAATGTTTGGACTCATTCCTACCTTTCCAAAGATACCAAATAATGACAATTGGAAGTAAATTATGATTATGACCTTTACTTTTAGTAAACCAAATCTTAAAAATCCCAGCCATATCATAATCTGCATTGAAAGCACCAATATCTGTTAAATTGAAGAAATGAGTCCAAACATTAATGGCAATAGCCCCATTAACAAACACATGTTGAATGCTCTCAATGTTATAACAACATTGACATTTAGAAACAATACTAAACCCTTTTTTCCAAAGAATGTTATCAATAGGCACAAAATTTTTAAGACACCTCCAAGAAAGCAAGGAGTAAGATAGAGGAATAGTGTTATGCCAAATAGAATTAAAGATCATAGACATCTCACCTTTCAATCTAAACTCCTCCCAAACATTTTTTAAGTTAAAATTACCAGAACAAGACATATTAAAAATGATTTTATCTTTGACATGCAAATTTAAAGGGATTTGAATGATTTGCTCAATGATCACATCCGGCACCACTTCCCTAAGTTTAGCAATGTTCCACTCACCATTATAGAAAAAATGATTCACCTTGGTATTAATAATAGTATTAGTGTTAAGATACTGATCAATAGAATACGTTCCTAACCAATTATCCTGCCAAAAACCAACCTCCCCAATACCAATGCCCCATTGGATAAATTTCTCCGCCTCCCTTTTGATATTACACAGTCTTTTCCAAACCCTAGAATCAGAGTTTTTATAATGACAAGCCAAAGGATTAAGATTCTTGCAATACTTAGCATTCATGAATTTGTCCGATAAATTATTATTAACTCTAAAAGCAAACCAAATTTTATGAGAGAAAGCATGAGAAGTATAAAATATAGACTTACAACCAAGCGCCCCTTCCTTAAAAACGCCACAAACTTTGCTCCAAGAAGCCCAATTGATACAAGCTTTATTATCAGTGCCACCCCAAAAGAATTTGTTTATCATCTTCTCCATCCTCACACAAACAGCAGACGGAGGTTGCAAAGTATGGAACAAAAAAAACGGAATAGAGTTAAGCACACTTTTAATCAAAGTCAATCTACCACCAAAAGAAAGAAAATTAGAAGACCAATTTAAAAACCTTTTTTGGAATATAGAGAAGATATTGTCAAAAAGGAAAATCTTTTTCCTACCGTTAAAAAGAGGAGCCCCAAGATACTTAATAGGAAGAAAAGATTGATTAAAACCACAAACTCTTTTAATACCATTAATACGATTCTGATTCATAGAAGCTCCAGTAATAAAGTTTCTCTTATCTCTATTTATCGACAACCCGCTAATCATTTGAAAAGAAGTTAAAAACTAGCAAGGCATTTGACATTTTTAATAGAAGCATTGGAAAAAATGATAAAATCATCAGCAAAGCTAAGATGGGTTATAGGAATGCCACCAATAGTACGAAAGTTAAGCATTGGCATCCTAATATAGAGATTTTCAATACCTCTAGATAGATATTCCATAGCTAAAATAAAGAGGGAAGGGGATAAGGGACCTCCTTGTCTCAACCCATGCTTAGAAGGGAAAAAACCATGAGTATTACCATTTATAATAACAGAAAAAAACAATGCTCAATACTGTTCTTAATTAGCAACAGAAAGAAATCATTAAAACCCATCAACTTAAGAACATTATAAAGGAAATCCCACTTCAAATTATCATAAGCTTTCGTGATGTCAAGTTTGAACAAAATATTTCCACCAGGTAACTTTAGCATTGAGATCATGGACCATCTCTTGAGCCAATAAAATGTTGTCAAAAATATTACGACCTTTAAAAAAACCCGTTTGGTTAATGGAAATAATGTTAGCTAAAATAGAGGACAATCTATAAGCAAGAATTTTAGCTACCAACTTGTTAAAGAAAGTACACAAACTAATAGCTCTAAAATCATTCAAGTAGTTAGGGTTATCTTTCTTCGGAATAAGCACAATATTAGTAGAAGAAAAAAATTTTGGATAAGGAGTACCTTTAAAAAAATCATGCACCGCATCAATAATATCATACTTAATAATGTCCCAAGTTTTAACAAAGAATTTTGTAGTAAAGCCGTCCGGCCCCGAAACAGAATCACCATTCATACCTTTAATAGTATTCCAAACTTCATCCTCCGTAGGAGAATGAATAAGCATAGCATTGACATCCTCATCCACCATTTTAGGAATCACACTAGCATTATTAATAGGTAACTTGGACTTGGAAGAATTAAACATGTTTTGAAAGTAAGCAATACCCAAATTAATAACTAATTGCTCAGTATCACAAACAATACCCTGAGGATCAACAATTTTATGAATTTGATTTCTCATTCTATTCTTGTTAACCATAGCATGAAGAAAAGAAGTGTTTCTATCCCCTTCAGTAGTCCAGGCAATAGAGGTTTTTTGTTTCCAAAAAATCTCTTCCTGATTTTGCAGTTGAAATAAGGAAAGCTTAGCATTTTCAAGTTTAGAAATATTTTCCTCTGAGTAATTATCAACCAGCACACTTTCCAATTCCACCACCTTACCTTCAGCTTCTTTGATATTATCAAAGATATTTTTAAAAACATGTTTATTCCACCACCTGAGAG